ATATTACAGGTTGAGTTCTAGACCACTCCAATAATATAAATATTGTAATACACTCAGTCACATGAAGTTTTTGGTTTCTCTTAGTGCCCGTAAGAGGTATGGTTTATTGTACTATATAGTCTGTTAGGTATGCAATAGCATTATGTCTAAAAAATGTACATACCTTAATTAAAAATACTTTATTGCTAAAAATTGCTAATGATCATGTGATCCCTCAGTAAGTCATAATCTTTTTGTTGGTGGAGAATTTTTCCTTGATGTTGAAGAGTGCTGACTGATTGGGGTAGTGGTTGCTGAAGGCTTGGGTAGCTGTAGCAATTTCTTAAAATAAGACAACAATGAAGTGTGCCTCACTGAATGACTCTTCCTTTCAGGAAAGATTTCTTTGTAGCATGCAATGCTGATTGAAAGCATGTTACGGACAGTGGAATGTCTTTGAAAATTGGAGTCAATCCTCTCAAACTCTGCGGCTGCTTTATCAATTAAGTTTATAGAATATTCTGAATCCTGTGTTGTCATTTTAACAATGTTCATAGCATCTTCACCAAGAGTAGATATCATCTCAGGAAGCCACTTTCTTTGCTCATCCTTAAGAAGCACCTCATCTCTTCAACTTTTATCACGAGATTGTTGGAATTCAGTCACATCTTCAGACTCTACTTCTATTTCTAGTTCTTTTGCTATTTCCACCACATCTGAAGTTATTTCCTTCACTGAAGTCTTGAACTCTTCAAAGTCATCTGTGAAAGAGCTTCTTGCTGTCAACTCTTGTTAATGTTGATATTTTGACCACCTCACATTATACATGAATGTTCTTAGTGGCATCTATTATGGTAAATCCTTTCCAGAGCTTTTCAGTTTACTTTGCCCAGATTCATCAGGGCAATCAGTATTTATGGCAGCTATAGCATTACAAAATTTATTTCTTAAATAATAAGACTCGAAAGTTGAAATTACTTCTTAATACTAGGCTGCTGTCATGAAAACAGCATTAATCTCCTTGTACATCTCCATCCGAGCTCTCGTGTGACTATATGTGTTGTAAGCGAGCAGTAATATTTTGAAGGGAATCTTTTTTTCTGAGCAGTAGGTCTCAACACTGGGCTTAAAATATTCAGTAAACCATGCTGTAAAGAGATGTACTGTCCTCCAGGCTTTCTTGTTCTTATATAGAGCACAGGGAGAGTAGATTTAGCATGTTTCTTTAGGGCTCTAGGATTTTTGGAATGGTGAATGAGCATTGACGTCAATTGTAAGTTACTAGCTGCATTAGTCCCTAACAAGACAGTCAGCCTGTCCTTTGAAGCCAGGTATTGACTTCTCCTCTCTAGTCATGAAAATCTTAGATGGCAACTTTTTCTAATAAAAGGCTGTTTTCATCTACATTGAAAGTCTGTTGTTTAGTGTAGCTACTTTCATCAATTTTTTAGCTAGATCTTCTGGATAACTTGTTGCAACTTCTGCATCAGCACTTGCTGCTTCAGTTGCACTTTTATGTTATAGAGGCAGCTTCTTTCCTTAAACCTCATGAACCAATCTCTGCTAGTTTCCAACTTTTCTTCTGCACCTTGCTCACCTCTCTTAGCCTTCACAGAATTAAAGAGAGTTAGGTCCTTGCCTTGGAATAGGCATTGGCTTAAGGGAATGTTGTGGCTGGTTTGATCTTCTATCGACTCCATTAAAACTTTCTCCTCATCCCCAATAAAACTGTTATGCTTTCTTCTGTTCTGTGTGCTCACTTTTAATTCCCTTCAAGAATGTTTCTTTTACATTCATGACTTGGCTGTTTGGCTCAAGAGGCCTAGCTTTTAATCTGTTGGCTTTTGACATGCTTTCCTCATTAAGCTTAATTATTTCAAGTGTTTGATTTAAAGTGAGAGGATGGGCAACTCTTCCTTTCACTTAAACGCTTACAAGCTATTTCAGGGTTGTTAATTGGTCTAATTTCAATATCATGTTTCCCGGAAAATAAGATAGGATCTTCTATTTATTTTTTCTCAAGAAGACACCCTAGGGCTTATTTTCAGGGGATGTGTTATTTTTTTTAAGTACGGTACAACAATCTGCATTTATTCAAATATAGTTAAGTTGTCTTCTTCTGGAACATCATCATAACTCTCCAAACCCCGAATTCCATCCTGAATTTCTTGAGACTGTATTTCCTTTAGAATCACCCAATCTCTCCTGTCGAGCAATAGAGCTCTCATCAGGCAGATGAGAAGGGCTGCTTGTCTTCTTTACCGCTCTGCAGACGAAATGCATGGGTTTATGCTGCGTAGCCACGCCCATCAGTAGGTCTTATTTTTGGGTTAGGGCTTATATTGTGCAAATGCTTAGAAATTCTGCTAGGGCTTATTTTATGGGTAGGACTTATTTTCAGGGAAACACAGTATTTTTGTGTCTCAGGGAATAAGGATACCTGAGAAGAAGGAGAGAGAGTGATCATGGGAGGAATGGCTGGTCAGTTGAGCAGTCAGAACACATACAACATTTGCTGAATAAGTTTGTTGTCTCATGGGCATGGTTTATGGCACCCCAAAACAATTACAATAGTAACATCAAAGAGCATGGATCACAGACCACTATAACAGATATAATAATGATGAAAAAGTTTGAAATATCGAAAGAATTACCAAAATGTGACAGAGAGACACTAAGTGAGCATATGTTGTTGAAAAAAATGATGTGCCAACAGACTTGCTTGATGGAAGGTTGCCAGAAAGAAAGCTTCAATTTGTAAAAAATTATAATATCTGCTAAGCACAATAATGCAAAGTACAATAAATGAGATATGCTTGTATGTAAGAATCATGTTATGTAAATTTTTATAATGGTTTTATTATTAGCTTGTCATTGTCTTCTAAAATGCCTAGTAGGATTTTGATTGTGATTATTAAACATATTGATCAGTATGGGGGGACTTGACATGTTAGGATATCATCACTCCCAATCCAAGAACATGGTATTTATTATTTATTTAATAAATTGCTTATTTATTAAATAATAATAAAATAATAAATCAATTATTTAATAAATAAATTTAATAAATAAATAAATATTTATTTAATAAATAAATCTTTGATTTTTTTCATCTGCATTTTATGGTTTTTAGCATATAAATCTTGCATGTATTTTGTTAGACTTACATAAAAGTATATAATATTTTCATGGAATTGTAATTCTATCAAAGGGTTCATTTCTATACAATAATATGATTGTACATATAGACTTTGAATTCTGCAACCTTGGTAAATTCACTTAGTTCTAGTAGTTTTTTAAAGAGATTCTTTGGGATTTTCTACATAGATAATATTATCAATACGTTTTATCCATGAATAGATAATGTTATCTGTGATGGTTTTATTTCTGCCTTTACCTCTGTATGCTTTTTTTTTTTTTGAGTCAAGAGTCTAACTCTGTTGCCCAAGCTAGAGTGAGTGCCATGGCGTCAGCCTAGCACACAGCAACTTCAAACTCCTGGGCTCAGTCCATCCTCCTGCCTCAGCCTCCCGAGTAGCTGGGACTACAGGCATGTGCCAACCATGCCCAGCTAAATTTTTCAATATATTTTTAGTTGGCCAATTAATTTCTTTATATTTTTGGTAGAGACGAGGTCTCGCTCTTGCTCAGGCTGGTCTCAAACTCCTGAGCTCAAATGATTGGTATCCACCCACCTCGGCCTCCCAGAGTGCTAGGATTACCGGTGTGAGCCACTGGGTCTGGCCCTCTGTATGCTTTTAATTTCTTTATGTGTCCTTATTGCACTAGGTAAGATAATTTATATCTTAATGTTGATATAGAAGTAATAAAATGTTGAATAGAAGTAATAAAAGTAGACAGCTTTCCCCTGTTCTTCACCTTATGGGGAAAGTGACTCGTGAGGAAAGTGTTTATTGTATCTGTAGATTTTTTTTTTTAATAGAGTGCTGGATTTATAAGTGTGAGCCACCCTGCCAAGCCTCTAGTAGATTTATTTTTATTTTTATTTTTTTGGTGACCCCATTGTGATTTGAACCCTCTGGTAGATTTTTTTTAATTTTTTAAAAATTTTATATTATTATTTCTTTATTATAATTTTTTAATTTTTAATTCCCTATTTCTGTTCCTCACGATCTGGTAGATTTTGATGAGGTTTTTAACTATCAATGTAGAGAGTCTTTCAGGGTATAGTATTTAATATATTTAGTTTTTTAATTAAAATACTCTTTTATTTTTTCTTGCGTGAATACATTACAAATCTTTCCTTAAATTTATTGTAAGATATTCAATGTTTTTGATATTTTTAATGCCACTTTATATGATATTATTTTAAAATTTCTCTTTCTAATTGTTTTTAATTTACAAAAACAAAGATGATGTTTGTATATTAACCTTGTATCCAGTAACCTTGTTAAATCTACATACAAATTCTAATTGTCTTTATTGTGGGTTTATTTGTATGTCTGTACATATTATATTTATTCTTATAGATTTGTTTTATTTGATTTTACACTTATACAATCAGGTTTTCAGCAAATAGTGACAGCTTTATTTCTTCCTTGTAGTAATTACTTTTCTGGACTTATTCACAGCTCCTTCCACACTCTATTGAATAGAAGTATTGATAATAAATATTCTTATATAGTTCCTGATTTTTGAATCAGACCTTTCCCTTTGTCAGATTAAGGTAATGTTATCATGAATGTCTTTTAAAATTTATCAAATGCTTTTCTACATCTGTTGACATGATATCATTTTTCTTTCTTTTTTTTTTTTTTTTTTTTTTGAGTCTTCTGGTGCTAGAAATAATTTGTCTTTTTTCTCCTGAATTTCGCATTCCTAAAATAAATTGATATAAAATAAAGGATGTATTGTGATCATATTTTTTGGTAAGGTTTGAATCAATTTATTAATGTCATGTTAATAAGGGGTTTGAATATTATGTTAATAGGAAAATGTAGAGGTTAATGGCCTTTCTCTTTTTAAAAAATAATGTTTTTTTTTTCCTGCTCTTCCTTTAGCACAAGCCCACCTTACTGTTGTGTGGATTTATATTCACTTCGTACTGGGGAGATGGTCAAGTCCATTCAGTTCAAGACATCTATTTATGATCTCCACTGCAACAAACGGTAAGCATTTTTTCATGTTTTTGGTGTAATAAGCAACAAGAAACATGGTCTCGCGAGCATCGAGACTTCTACTAATTTCATTGACTTACTTAGATTTATTAAAAAAAATATATCAAGAAAATACCTTGTAAATTCTGTCTAGTGAAATAGCTCTAAGATTTCTTAATGACTATATTCAAACTACCAGTCTTGACCCATTAGGAAATTGTGAATTTAGTGTAGTGGAACATAACTAGCATTTGTAAAATAAAATGGAAAAGAATAGAAAGTATTGTTTTGAGAAAGCTTTATATATATATATATATATATATATACACACACACATACATACATACATATATACACACACACATAACATAGTTTTTTTAATATGCATAATGTGTATGCTTTATATGTGTTTACTGGTTTATGATGTGAAATTATAATTTTGCTGTAAGGACTCACCAAAACTTTTGAAAAGCATGTTTCTGAACTGTTAAAAAATGCTTAGAAATATTTTTTATTCCTTCACATTTCACAATGGAGCTAAAACAGGTACTAGAATGATTTTTATCCTCTAAAATTTATTTTGTTTAATTGCTGAAAAAATATTCAGATTTAGATTGAACTTCTACCTGACCTCAAATTATGATGAATTAAGAACAGAACATTGTAGGCGAAAGGAACTGTAGGAATCTTGTATTTAGCGCTTTCCTTTTACATTTGAGCAAACCTAATTCCTAGGTTGTTAAATACCTTGATTATTAGCTCTTAGATACAAACTGTAAATCTTCCACATCATCAAAATGCAAACACCTAAACCAGAAAATGAAATATTTTATCTGTCTTCAATAAATTTAAATTAATTGAATTAAATGAATTGGGAGGTTGAGACAGGAAGATTGCTCGAGCCCAGGAGTTTGAGGTTACAGTGAACTGTGACAAAATGAAATTGTTCTGTTTTAATAAATAAACACAATTAATAAAGCATGCATATTAAATACTACATTTTTTAGCATCTGTTGCTCAGAGTTATGTGCCTCAAATTTTGAAAAATAATCGATTAGTGTGTTAAATATTTAGTAAAAATTCTAATCTTTGATTTTTTGAAGTAAGTATTAAACTTGAATATTTATAGTAATATCCTATAGGAGTAGTATAATATAACGTAGTACTTCTGGATGTATTTTAGGAATTTCACATTAAAAATGTTTATAAATAAATTATTTTCCTAATTACTTATAAATCTTGGACATTGAGAAAAATATTGTTTATTTTTTAATATATTGAATCAATCAGAAATGATATATTTACACTTAATAATAGTTGTCCTAGATTTTTATATGCATGTGTGTTGGGGAAATTCAGCAGTCATTTAAAATAATAGATTACATAAATCCATTTTATGTTTAATGCCATAACTGAAACATCATTGGAAAAACATTTTTAGTAAACAGCCAATTTATTAATCTTAGCCTATTTTTAATTCTTTGAGATGGGCTCTCGCTGTGTTGCCCATGTTGGTCTTGAACTCCTGGCCCTAAATTATCCTCTTGCCTTAGCCTCCCAAGTAGCTGGGATTATAGGCATGTTGTCACTGCATTTGGCTTGATCTTATCATTCTTAATGTAAATTTATCTGATTCAAAATGAATGAAAGCAAAACTTTAGTAAGAGAAAATATTTTTTGATGTGGTAGTTTGTTCTTCAGTCACTTTTCTTGTAGTTATCTCTATCTTGCTTATATACAGGATTTTGTGGATTACATTTTCATTAAGAGGTAAATGTTTCATGCCTAAATATTGTAAGAATTGTTTAATTTTTAAATTGCACTAGTAGATACTTGTTTTCAACTAGGTGCTTTAACTTATTTATGCTTCATTTTATGGAATTTCATATTCATTTCTTTTTTCCATTTTGTTTTTTTTCCTCTAATTTTAGGATCCTTGTCGTAGTGTTGCAGGAAAAAATCGCTGCCTTTGATAGCTGTACTTTCACAAAAAAATTCTTTGTTACAAGTATGTACCAAATTGTTTTATTTCTTATCATATGCTTTTGAGTTTATAATACTTACTTGATATAGTCAGAAAATGAATTGTAAGCGTATCAACGGTATTTCAAGAGTTTTTAATTATGATAAAGTCCTCATTCAGTTATTTAATTGTATAATATGTATTACCAACTTTCCAACACATTTTTTCACATTACTGAGCAAGCTTTGTTCTATGTTGCCTCAGTTATTCCTTATATACTCTTCCTGAGTAGTTGTCATGAATTTAGTTTCAGGTAGCAATTTTTATACTTTCACAGTTTTTGTTACATAACATACCATATTTGAGGAGGTCCCTGGATTATTCTGTATGAAGGAATTGAAACTCAGAGGAATATGTCAGTCTTTCTTTCTTTTCCACTTTCTTTCCTTCACCCTTTTAACTTCTACTATCCAGAAGTGCAGAAATAAGCATAGAATCTGGATCTAAACTGTGTGTGTACACAAAGAGAATTAACACATTTTACAGAGAAAGGGAAGGAGGGAGACTGATTTTTAAAAATTAGCTCATGCAGTTTAGGGGCTGGCAAGTCTGAGATTTGCAGAGCAGACTGGAAAGGCTGGAAATTACAGGAGGAGTCAGTGTTGCAGTTTTGAACCCAAAGTTGTATGGAGGCAGAATTGTTTTTCCTCACTCTAGTTCAGTAAAACAGCTGTAGCTGAGTTTTTCTTTTTTCTTCCCTCCCTTTGCTTCCCCTCTCCTTTTTGAGACAGAGTGTTTCTTTGTCACCTGGGCTAGAGTGCAGTGGCATGTCATACATAGCTCATTGTAACTTCAAACTCCTGGACTCTAGCGACCCTCCTGCCTAAGCCTCCCAAGTAGCTGGGACTACAGGCACATGCCACCATTCCCTGTGAATTTTTCTATTTTTTATAGAGACAGGGTGTCGCTCAGGCTGGTCTTGAACTCCTGGCCTCAAGCAGTCCTACTGCCCCAGCCTCCCAGAATGCTAGGGTTATAGGCATGAGCCACCACACCTGGCCTAGCTGAGTTTTTCCAGAGAGGGTGGTGTGTATATGGTGCAGAGATAGTTTAGACGATCACAGTTTTAGTATGACCAGGTAATCCTGAGTATGCTTGTTGCATCTTCTGAAATATCTCATCTATTTGCACAGATGTTTACTGAATATCTACTGTATGTCAAGCACTGGGTAGTAGAGCTTATATTCTTGATACAATTAATACATTTTATACTATATGTAATTATAGATATCATATGCCATATTTTATACCATATGTAATATATAATAGAATAATTTGTTATATAATACATTGTTTATCATTTTGTAGACTGTGAAGAATAAGACAAACTCATCCCCTCAGTGCTTGTAATCTCTTTCTCTCAGATATATATAGCTGTTATGCATTAACATATCATATTTGTAATTCTTATAATTATTATAATAATTAAGGAAATTGAACCTATCTAAGGAACCACATATCAATTATCCGTTTCTTCCAATTATATGGGATATAGAGAAGTGAATCAGAACAGAGTGGGAACATTTCAGCCAGATTCATAGGCCTAGTTTCCTTGAGCATTTTTTGTCTGTCTATCTTATCAATGGTCTTTTGCTGTTCTTTGTTAATCAGAGTTATATGTATGGTGGCTTCTGTGATGTCATAATCCTCTGTCGTGACTCCATTTTAATTTTATACTTATAGTCTGCATTTCTTAGTAGTGACTTTTAGGTTTTTGCATCAGGGCAGGAGCATAGAGCTACCTTTTTTTTCTTCATTAAAGAAATAAAGATACCTTGCTTCCTCAGCTGAGTCTTAAATTGGGGAAAAAAATCTAAAATCATTATTTTTAAAGATAGTTTATTTAAATGGCAGAGTATGTTTTCAGTTTTAATCCCCATTTAAACATTAGGCTCTATGGTACTGTTTATGTTGAAAATAATATTACTTTTGTCAATAGCTGTTAACTTCTTTCCTTCTAATAAATGGCAAGGTATAAAGTCAGTTGTAGCGGTGACTAAAGAGAAGTAATAAATATAAATATGTTAATAGTGGAAATATTTATCTTACAGAGCATATATATATTATCGTTTTTCTTGTGGATAAGTAAAAAACACAGATTTTAATAATTGATTTAATATCCAGTATAAATTTTAAAAGGAAAAGTCAGCATCACTATAAAGGTATAATTTAAAATAATTAGATTTTTATGTTAGCCATATATCTATATTTGAAGGATACAAAAGTTTGTAATGATTTTGATACATTTGTATGAAATAGGCCTTTCATAATACTCTACTTCATGGGAGAAAATGGATAAAATTATACATAATAATAGTATGCTTTAGCCTTCGGTTGGCATAATAAAAATTTTGGATGAAATGATGTAGATATGGCTTTTATCTTATAACTACATATGAATGAAATTTGTTTCTACTAACATTAGTACCTGCCATTTATCCAAAAGGTGATAAAAATGTATATTTTAAAAATAAGGACTTACATTTTAAAATAATTTTTAAAAACTCCTTAACTATCGTTAAATAAACTTCTGTATGGTATGGCTTTAAGTACAATTACCTTTCAAAGTTTTATTTTTTTTAATTAATAGTATTTGCAGCTTTTGTGGGGGGGTATTTGTTTGTGGAAAACCCTTACTTGGGTCAATTTTTTTCTGTATGACGGTAAAAAAGTAAATATGTAAAGCCCTGGAAAAATATATTGGCAGAATCAGTATAGAAGCTGGCACATTTTTAATGAAAGCAGCTAAAAAATTTTTATGTTACTAATTTTACTATATATTCTTAAACAATATATGATGGAAATAAGAGTAAAAATACCTTTAAGTGGAAGAGAGAATAGAGTATGCATTCTTCTTAGTTTTTATTGCTGTTTGAAATTATGAAGTTCTTGCAGAAATAAAGTATATTTTTAGTTACCTTAAAATAGTTAAATGTACCTTAAATATATAAATGTCTTCAGTTTTCAATAATTTGGCTTAATAGTTAAAGATGTAATGTTTAGTACTATGGCAAAAATACTGTATTTTGATTAAATTTCTAATGCCACAGATATACCATTTCATCTCCTGTGAAGGTCATTTAAAAAAACTTTTTATTTTTAGAAATACATACATGTATATAATTAGAGAAAGTAGAACAATGGACACCCATATACTTATCTAGTTTCAACAGGTATGAAGTGATGGACACTCTTTTTCATTTAGAGTCCTTCCCCAATTATTTTGAAGCATATTACAGGCATTATAGAATTTAATTTATACATATTTATTACCTATGTCTACAAGATAAGAACTTTAAAATATTACCAGGTAATAATGTAATTTGTCATCTAAACTGCAGTCTTTTGATTTGAACTATCACCTTACTAGATTTAACTCTAGTCAACACATGTAAACTAGGAAAGTCCTGTGCCAACATAGACATATTGTCATCCTGTCTATTTCTTTTTTTTTTTTTTGAGACAGAGTCTCAGTTTATTGCCCAGGCTAGAGTGAGTGCCGTGGCGTCAGCCTAGTTCACAGCAATTCAAACTCCTGGGCTCAAGCGATCCTACTGCCTCAGCCTCCCGAGTAGCTGAGAGACGGTGTCTGGCTCTTAGGCAGGCTGGTTTTGAACTCCTGACCTTGAGCAATCCCACCTCGGCCTCCCAGAGTGCTAGGATTATGGGCATGAGACACCACCCCAGCCATCCTGTATATTTCTTACCAGCCAAACTCCCAAGCTTTTTTATTTACCAAACCTTCTTTGTGAAAGTCCAGTCTCCTTGCAAAATCTTTTCTACAACTCAGTTTTATGCTTCTTTTGCCACATATAATTTGAACCACTCATTTTCAGCTTTTTGCAGGTGTATTTTTCCTTTGTTCTCTTAATTGAAATGGCCTTTCACTAGCACCTACTCTCCCAACAATGTATCTTAATCCTGTACATCTTTCTGGGCCTGATGTAGATAGTCATTCTTATATGAAATCTTTCCTGACCTTCTTAGCTTACAGTAAGTAACCTATCATTTTCCTAAATTCCCCAAAGATAACATTTCTCACTGTTTGTTTGCAGAACACTAGACTTTCAACATGCTATGCAAATCAGGATGCCCAGGTCAAATATGTTTAGGAAATGCTGCCTTCCATTTAGAGTGTCAATGATGATAGTATTTCATCTGTTTAAACTTATTTAATACATTTTTATTTGATACAGACCCCCTTTGTTACCCAACACGCTTTGGGAATGCCTTTATAACATGTAATCTCTGCCTCTCTTTAAAGCATTTAGTTTCTATATTGTATCCATTTTCTATCTACTTGCCACTAGACAGTAGTCTTCTTGAGAGAAGTTATTCAGCTTGTTTTGGATTGAGGAAGTAAGGTTCATGGAAGGCATAGTATGTCCATTGTGTTCTTGCTATCTTAAAAAATATTAATGATGTTTATATTTTGCTATGTTCTTTTAATAATAAAACCCAGTTTACTAAAGATGAAAACATTTATCCCAAATGTGATAATTATTTATCACATTTATCACTTTGCTTTCATTAGTGGTTCTTTTTCAAAATGTTTAGTTAACCAAAATGTTTGTGACAAGAGTATATCTGAAAATGCAATGCTACACTGTCAAAATTTGTCAGATAATGAATAAAATTGTTCATATGGAATCAGTGCAGATATCTATAGATCTGAGCTGAAAACACTGGTGAATATTTAAAGGAGTGAAAAAAAAATATATTCATGTGTGAATGAAGTTTCTCTCTTATAAAACACATTGGAGTAAATCCAGAAATTAGAATTTTTGAAGTATGAGTTTTTCAGAAAATTGTGCCATTGTAGACATCAGCTCTTGAGTATGTCTTGATATTTCTCCTGGCTATGTAAAGGATTTCTTCTTTGGGAATAGGACCTTCGGTTTTGCAAGCCTTTAGCCAAGCACAAAGTATCAGTCAAATTTGGTAAGAGTAAATGGGAAACTGAGTTGTTAGCATTCTTTCTTAAT